TGAGAGAGAGAGAGAGAGAGAGAGAGAGAGAGAGAGAGAGAGAGAGAGAGAGAGAGGCCACTTCCGTCGACAGGATGAGCGAAAAATTGGCAACTGCCGGGGCATTTTGCAAAGTTGGGCAGTGTCCGGCGAATGAATCTACCGCTAGAACATGGAAATATACGCTGTTTGTTTGTTTGTTTTTTTTGTGTGTGTGTTTGCGAAAACTTGGCAACTGCTCCAACCGATGGCTGGGGTGTTTCGAAAATGTTTTGTCATCGTCCTTCGCCGCAGCGTAGTTGCGGCAGGTCCACTTGTATTTCAAAAAAGAAAAGGAAAGCAAAAGGTGACAATGCCGTGACGAGGAGGAGAAGAGACGGAGGAGGAGGAGGTGACGAGGGAAGACATGGCGAAGAAGGTGAGGAGGAGGATGAGAAGGCGGACGCAAAGAGGAGGAGGGCGATCAGCGTTTCAATTGAACGAGGTCGTGAGGAGGGGAGATGAACGAGGAGGAGGAGGGGAGAGAGAAGAAGGATGCGACGAGGAGGAAAGATGGAGGAGGACGACGCCCAGATATGGAGGAGGAGGACGACCAGGTATGGAGGAGGAAAGATGGGCGAGAAAGGCAAGAGGAGGAGATACCAACGCTACTCGAAGCTTATATAAGGAAAGGTGACGAGACCTTGACGAAGAGGTAAACTAATCAGCTCTGGACTACAAGCATTTTTTCAAATGCCACATGGAGAGATTGAAGAGGCAACCATAGGTGCCGCCAGGCGGCGGCCCTTCGGCCTTAGTCCCCTACTATCAAATCTATACCTTAATTAACTCGACCAGAGGATGAGGAGGAGGAATGGAGGAGGACAATGAGGAGGATGGGAGGAGGAGGAAGGTGACGTGGAGGAGGAAGTGATGAGAGAGGAGGAGAAGAGATGCAGGAGGAGGTGAGGATGATGAGAGATAGAGGAGGAAGTGACTAGGAGGGGAGATGGAGGAGGACATGACGAGTAGGAGGCGAGTTTCCAACTTCGGTGGGATGCTGGCAGGGATACATTTTCTACTCTGCTCAAAGTTTCGTTTGGTTCTTCCTTTAGAGAAAAGAGATGATGTATCAAAGGGACGCGGTTTCCAGCAGGTGAAGCTCCCCACCAATAGATGGAGCAACCCGGCAGGAAAAAACTCAATCCTGATGGTTCTCCTACCACCACCGCGATAGAGGCCTTGCACAAGGGCTTCGGAAAAAAAAAAAAAAAAAAAGGACGGCACCGTGACGAGGAGGATAGATGAACGAGGAGGAGGTATATGTGGAGGAAGAGGAGGAGGAGGAGGAGGTGGAGGAGGTGAGTTTGAGGGAGGGCAGGAGGGCTGGTGATTCAGAGGTGAAGACTCACCTTGGAGGATGGTTGAAGTCGGGGATGGTCGGTCCGGAACTTGGTGATGGTGCAAACACAGGGTGAGGTCGGCGGCGCTCGTCGAGGGCGAGTGATGGCGCTGCTTCCTGGAAGTGGACTGGAGGCCGCTGCAAAAGCGACAAACAAAGGGCTGTTGCAAACACAGGGTGAGGTTGGCGGTGCTCGTCGAGGGCGAGTGATGGCGCTGCTTCCTGGAAGTGGACTGGAGGCCGCTGCAAAAGCCACGAACAAAGGGCTGCAACAGCGACGAAGGAACAGCCCCCCAAAAGCAAAAACGAAATTCGAATTTTTTTCAGGCGCTGCCCACCGATTTTTTTTTTCGGCCCCGTAATGATTTTTACGGGGGGGGGCGGTGCAGGGACGAATCTACACTTGTTTCTTTTTTTTGGGGGGGGGGG